CTGGGCCTGGACCCTGGTCTGAGGAAGAGGGAACTGGGGCTGGACCCCTGGTTCTGGGGCTTTGGGTCTCAAGTGTTGGGTGAAGGGTCCGCCCTGTGTGTTGCTAGCTTTAGAGCTCTACCCCAAGCTGCAGGCAGGAGGCTGGGCGTGTTCCCTCTGACCTCCGGGCCTCTGCCTCTGTTGCTCTGATCTCTGTTTCCCTTTCTCTCCACTTCCAGAGRGTCCTGCCTTCGCTGACTGTTGTCCCCACTTGCTGAGCATCAGTTTCCTCCTTTCTAGGCAGTAGCCCCTTGATTCCCTCAGTGACCTGCTTAGGGTGAAATGAAGACTCAGCCTAGCCTCYACTGACAACTTGTACATGTGTCTCTTTTCTTTCTACACTGAAGTTGCTGGGCTGATCAGAGTCAGGCTGGAGCTGGTGAGGCCATGGTGGCAATGTGCCAGGAGAGAATCTGCCTGAGAGCGAATACAACKGGAGGGAAGCAGATCCCAAAGATGAGACAGTCAGGTTCCTGGTAATGAGGGATCTAGCTGGATCTAGCTGAACCTGAAGCCCTCATCTACCCAATAAATTCCTCTTATACTTAGGTAGATTCAATCTGAGTTTTTGTCATTGGCAACCGAAACAGTCTAGATAAATGGTCTCACTCCGTTCTTCTGTGGCTCTGACTCCCTTCCTGTATCTTGGCATCTCTTTCTCTCCTGTCAATCTGTCCCTCTCCAGTGCCAATTCCATCTTTGTTGGGTGGGGACCCTTTGCCATGGCCATAGGCACACCTGCACCCCTCCGCCCCCCATCTCTCTTGGGCCCTCCGAATCCCACTCTCTGGCCTGGTGCCCAGCCGGGGACAAGCGGTCCAGAACCAGCATTTAGAGGTGATGTCAGCACTTCGGGATGCGGCCGGTCGTAACCCTGCGTGGGGGGTTCCTGCCCACCTCTGCCAGGCCCTGGCCAGCTGGACTGACCTCTCTCCCCAGCGAAGACCCTCGCCTTGGGGACCATGTTTCCACATAGGGGTGCCTTTCCCTGCTGTGGGTCTTTGTCTATGTCCAGGAGCGTCTGTGTGTGAATCGGTAGGTATTTGTGCAAATCCATCCATCCATCTATCCATCCATCCATTCCTTTATTTATTCTTCCAACACCTGTCCATCTATGCAGTTGGTAACTGACCCATCCATCCTCCTGGTATCCATTGGTCCAGCACCTTCCATCGCCACTCCTTCCATCACCACCCACCCAGGGGTCCAGCACCCACCTAGCCATCCATATGTAACGAATACACCCCTCTATCCACGCATTCCTCCCTCCGGCCCAACCACAAATATGTCATGAGTGCCTGCCATGTGCCAGACCCTGAGCCTGGTGAGCCACGAGCCGCGTGCCCCAGCCCTCCTGTGGCAGAGCCCTCCCGCCCCGGCCTGAACTAGGTTGCTCCTTCTCCCTGGCATTTCCCCTCCTCCTCCCTCTCCCCTGCTCTAACCCACTCCCCCTTTGAGCTCGGCTCAAACAGGGTKACACGGGGAGCACACCCTCCCTGACTTCTTGCTCAGTCACCCAGCACCCTGGACTTGCCTTGGTAGCGTGGATCCTAGTTAGGAGCCTGGGATGTTGAGTTATTTGATCATCTGTCTTCTCACTAGATCACCAGTTCTCCCTCCACTGGGATTTTTGTCTATTTTGTCTATTTCCCAGCTGAATCCCTGTTGCCTAAAAAAAATGTCCAGGACACAATAGATGCTCACAAAGCATACATCAAATGACCGAGTGAATTCAACAGGATAAATATGGAGGACTCTCCTTCTGTCTCCTGGTTCCTGTTCTTTATACCATTCTACATTCCCAGGGGTAGTGGCTTGCAAGGGCCTTCCCACGTCTCAGATGCACTAAAGTTGTGGCTAGGGCAGGGGCTCTAGGTTGACACGCACGTGTTGCCAATCTCACACCTGACACTTGCCAGCTGTGTGGTCCTGAGCAGGGTGTGTCCCTCTCTGGGCCTCAGTCTTCTCACTTGTCAAATGTGATTAAAGATTAAATGAGCAAACACACGCAATTATTAATTACGCCAGCACTAGCCACTGGCTATTTCTTCTAAGCACCTCCCGTGCATTTAAATTAGTCCTTAAAAKAATGAGATCGAGTCTGCTTTTCAAAAGTATCATCATCCTCGTTTACAGAGGTGGAAACCAAGGTGTGGAGAACATAGGAACCCGCCCAAGTCTCCATAGTGAGAGAAAAAGCAGAGTGGGACTTGAACCTGATGCTTGGCCYTCCAAGCCACACTGGGTGCCAAAGACTGCCCCTCAATGCCTGGGCAGCCTCAGAGTCCAGGGCTCTGGAAACGTGCACATTTCTGAGTGTGTGCATGCCTGCTGGCCTGAGGAAGGGGGCTGTTGGTGGAGCCTGGACAGGCCCCTGCTGGGTGCAAGATCTGGCTGTGAGAATGGCCARAGAGCAGGGCCACACTGCGCTCTCTACAGGTATGGGCTCCTGCAAGCTTCCCTGGGAGTGAATGCAGACCCATCTGCAAAATGTGAGCAGACAGGAGGATGGGAGTCCGGGGTGAGCCAGGGGGCATTTTTGGAGGATTCTGCCATCTAAGGACTGTAAGATGAATACAGTTGCCCAGTAGAGAGGGCAATCTAGTTAGGGGAGAGCCTAGAAGACTGTGTTACAGTTGCATTTGCAGAAGCAAGAAATCTTTTCCTTAAAGGTTGTATTTATTGGGGTGTCCCTGGTTGGGGGTAGGCACCAAGTGAGACTGGGGGCCTTCCAAAGCCACCTTTCTGGGCTGGGACGGTGGCTAGGTAGATCTGGACTTCGTCAAGGGAATTAACCTCCATGGGTCTTGTTTGTCTCCTCTGTGAAATGGGAATAACCTAATTGCACCCATCTCAGCACCAAAGTGAAGATTAAACGAGAAAATCCTTTCAAAGCACTCAGCACATTGCCACTTTATCATAGGAAGAGGCAATTATCATTAACTGCTATTAATATACCAGAAACTGCTWCTTGCTGCTTTTAAGAAGTATTCATTAAAGCACCGACTTGGTGCTAGAGCTTCATCTATCCTGACTGGTTTTTCAAACTCTGCATCCCTTAGGAAATAAGTGGATTGTTTACAATCTGCTGGTGAGAACSGGGCGAGGAGCCAGGATCATACAGCAAAGAGCGGCCCCTTTGGAGCCTCCAGCTCGGCCTCCGCCTGTGRGGCCTCCTCCTGCTGCCAGCCCTCAGAGCGGCTCAGGGGGAGGCACCAGGGTCCGGGGTTTCTRGGTCTGAGAGTCGCAGAGCCCTCGTGCTGGGAGGACAGGGGTCCTGGTTCCAGATCTCTGATGTGGAGGCGCACTGGGTCTCTGATGCCTCGGTGCCGGGAAGTCTCCCTCCTTCCTCGCTGCAGCCTCGCGATTTTGGCTTTCGGGCGGCGGGTGGGGAGGGGAGAAGGAGGGGGTGCAGGGGGAGGAGCTGCGGGCCTGCGACAGGGGCGGAGGAGGAGCCGGGCGGGCACCGCGGCGGGCGCGCGGGGCTGCGGCGGCGGCGGCGGCGGCGGCTCCGGTGAGTCCGCTCCTCCCCCTCCCCTGCCACAGCCCCCGCCCCAGCCCGAGCCAGGGGGCGGCCCCAGCGCGTGGGGCGGGGGTCGGTGCCGAGGCCCGTGGCTCTCGGGCCGGGCAGTGGGAGTCTGCAGCGCTCGCTGGCCGCTCCGGGGGAGGGGCACGTGGCCCTGGAAGGGGGATCCCCAAACACCTGGGTGTACCCCACCCCTCGCCCACCGATTCCCGACGCGCGGGGATCGTTTACCCATTCCCTGGCCCCTAATGACTTAGGTCCCCGTGGTCTTTCAAGGTCCTGGACATCGTTCCTCTCCCCTACAGTGTCTTGGGACCTTGGCATCTTAACCCCCCCACCCATACCTCCAAAAAAAAAAAAAAAACCCTTGTCCTCTCTGCAGCCCAGAGAGGCATTCAGAACTTCAACTCCCAGCAGCCTTTGCAGCGCCCGGTCTAGAAAGCCTCCGCAGAGCGAGCGCGAGGCCTGTCGGGAATTGTAGTCTACGAGCTTTTACCGGCGCGGGGCCCGGAGGTGGGAGGGGGCAGCGGGACCCCCGGGGTCGCCTGGGGTCGGGTGACTGGTTCCAGTAGGGCAAGATGTATGGCTTTGGCTGAGCTTTCCCCCTCCTTCGGCCTCGGCCCYTAGATCAGTCATCCCCTCTCACCACCTGGCGCGCGTGGGGACGGGTCTGCAGCCCCTTGTCCGCCCTACAACCCTCATGGGCTGCCGCCCGCCGCCGCCTCGGCTGCCACCCAGGACAAGGCAGGGATAAGCGCAGGTGAGTCTGACCATGCCTCTTTCCGAGTCCTGGCCTTTTGCAGCACCCCCATGACACCTGCCCATCTGTGAGCCCGGATCTGTTCCTCCCTAATTTCCTTCGGCATCCCCCTTCCAACCCATCTCTGATGTCTGGCTCCAAACCCTGTGTCACTAATTCTCCCCCCTCCCACATTCACCTCTCTCTCCTGGCCCCCTCTCATTTATGTCCCCATGCAACCTTCCCTTCTGGACCCACTCTGTCTGCCCAGCTCTCCTCTCTACCCTTGTGTCTGTCTTGAGCTCAAGCCATTATCTGTCTGTCTGGGCTTTGTTTCTGCATCCCTTTATCCTCTTCTCCTGCTGTTTCTCTTTGGAAGCTATTTCTGCTCACACTGCCACCTGCCCCTTGTTGCTGCCCCTCTGTCCATTTTTCAGCTTCCATGAATTACATACCAGCTCATATTTTTGTCTCTGTCCAGCCCAAGTCACAATTCTTGACTTCCCCTCCATCTGTCTGTACCTCTCTCCTTCTCCTCTGGTCTCCAGGTTGCCCTCTCCATTATCTCTGTCTCTCCTCCCATCATCTCTCCCTTCCCTCAACTTGGTTCCTGTCTCTGCATCCCCATCCCTCCCCATAATTCACCATACCTATCACCTCTTCTCTGTTTTCCTGGTCCTCTAACTGCCCACCCCAGTCTGGTTCCTTCTCCTTCCTCTGACCCTCTAAGCACTTTCCAACCTGAAGCCCTTGCTCATGCTGTTCCTGCTGCCCCAAATGCTTTGCCCTGCTCTAGCCTCATTGCCCACTACTCATGGCTGGCTCCATCTTGTCCTTCAAGTGCCAGAGAGCCCTCCCTAACTGTCCCCTTCCTGGTTCCTTTGTGGCCCGTCCTCCAGCTGTTTCTTTTGAAGTGGAGTGTGTCTTCTTGTTGGTGTTGGTTTGTTTACTTGTTTGCTCTTCGTCCCCTGTCTTTGGATTGTGACACTGAGGAGGCCCCGTACTTTGTGACACTGAGGGGCCCCCGTACTTTGTTCTCTGCTGGATCTTCAGCAGCCGGCACAGAGCCTGGTGTGTAGTTGGTGCTTGATGAAGATGTGTTGGAAGAATGAATGAATGATGAATGGCCTTCTCCTCATGGGTCCGTCCCTAATCTCTGTCCCTTCCTCTGTGCAGCCCTAATCTCTGTCTCCTTGTCTGCCCATCCCTTTATTTGTGCATCCTGACTCTGCCCCTTTGCTGACCTTCCCAGTCTGCCCCTCCAGGTCCACTTGTCCCTGTCCTCGGTCGTCTTGTCCACTCACGCCTTTGTCTCCTTAGTGTGTCCAACCTATGTCTCTATCTTCTTGTCTGTCCACCCCTGACTTCTGTCCTTTTGTCTATCTGCTCCTAATTTCTTTCCTTGTCCATCTCTCCCTCATGATTGTGTTCTTGTCCTTCTTCCTCTGATCTTGGTCCCTGATCACCTGCCCCTGCTCTCTGCCCGCTGCCCACCCCTTCTCCCTACCCCGCTCCCAATCACAGGACCAGACGGACACCATGTCTGGAGACTATGAGGATGACCTCTGCCGGCGGGCTCTCATCCTGGTCTCAGACCTCTGTGCACGGGTCCGAGACGCCGACACCAATGACAGGTGCCAGGAGTTCAATGAGCTACGAATCCGAGGCTACCCCCGGGGTCCAGATGCAGGTCAGCACCCCAGCTGTCTTGGCTGGCCGCCCACCTCCACAACAGCCAAGACTTCCAGGAATTCAGAGCAGGCTGCTCAGCTTCCCGTTCCCTTTGGGAACAGTCGCACTTAGCACCTTGAACCCCTCCTGCCTGCTGCTACCCCATTCCCCAAACCTCTCACCTAAGGAGAAGGAGCTGTGTGGTTAGTCACTTGACTGCGGAACCACTTGACCTCTGACCTTTTGCATTTTGCTCTGTGGCCTCCCCGTAGCTGTGGCCCTTGGTGCATCTCACACAGTGGTTCCAAGCTCAGGTTTGAGTCAGGCTGTCTGACTTGTGGGTATCCAAATCCCACCTCCCTGCCCGGTAACTGGATGGCCTTAGGAAAGCGACTCTTCTTCTATACCTCAGTTTCCTCATCTGGAAAATGGGGACGATAAAAGTGACTACTTCTTAGGGCAGATGAGAGACTCAAATGATGCAACCCATGGGAAGCACTTAGAACACTGGACACAAAGTGACCCTAAAGCCAATCCTGGGATTTACTTATCGAGCACCCGCTGTGGATCGGGGACCAGGCGAGGTCCTCCTCATTGACTGTGCACAGTGGTCCTCCATGGTACATATATCCTGGTTTTCTACAGGGAAAACTGAGGCTCAGAGGGTGAGGTGACTTGCCTGATGTCAGAGAGCTAGGAAGCAGCAGGGTTCTGAAACCAGGAAATGTCACGCATGCCACCACAGCCTCTGGCTGAGCACTGGGTCAGGGCTGGGCCCCCTGTGTGTAGGACAGCCAGGAGCCACTGACGACGAGTGAAGGCCAGAGAGTGGCTGTCTCTTGCTCAGAGTCTTAGGTGAGTAGTGGGGCCAGAATTTGATCCTGGAGAGTCTAGTCCTTGGGATCCCAGGGACCCCCCCTCAGGTTCACGGATTTACTAGAAGAACTCGGAATTGAGAAAAGCTGTCGTATGGTCCCAGGTCCCGGTGAAATAAGCCACTCCTATCAGGCCCTTGTCTGTCTGTCCTGGCAGTTTCCCTCCCAGGAGCTGGTCGAGGGCCAGCCTTCTCTGCAGGGAGGTGTGACTCCTTTGCTGTGGAGTCACACACCTCCCCAGACCTGGCGGCTCCCGGGCCTGGCGTGGGGACGAGGGACCCGTCAGCCCTGGAGCGCTCACGGTCTGACTTGGACAGTGAAGGCTGTTCAGTCTTCCTCCAGAGGGACCCCCGGCCTCCGCTCCACCCGCATTCAGGAGGCTTTTAAAGTCCTTGCCTCTGGTTTCTAACGGTCCCCAGAACTTGCAGCAAGTTTGGGTCACTCAAGGGAGGAGGCAGGGAAGTTTAGGATTCCTCTGCCGGTGGTTGGTTACGGCCCTGCAGGGTCACGTTCTCTCTCTCTCAGAGSCTGGGTTTTCTAAGTGTAAGATGGGACAAGTGATCCCTAGGTTACACACGGTCAAGGATTAGTGTCACACACCGCTGTAGCTTCAGTGAGCAGTACAGGACCAGGAGGTGTCTGTTCCCTCTGTCTGTCCCCTGAACACTCAGCCGTCCTTGCTGGTAATGACTTAGCCACCTACTTCCCCACCGTAATCTGCCACCTACACAGGCAGGGCTCACCTGTCTTCTACCTCGATGACCCCCAGGAGCCAGTCCCAGAACAAGTGCACATTTCCAGAAAGCCCCACTCCTGGTACCAATCACTGAGCAAGCCACCAATTCTTGGTTGCAAGAAACAGGCTGTTGCCTGGGTTTCTCTGAGGCAGAGCAGCATGTCACAGGCATTTGGAAGCTGGTGTTATGCTGCTGGGTCACTTCATGGAAGCAATAGGACTAATTATTCCAATATGAAGTCACACTGGAACTAACATTTACTAAGCATGATTGAGGTAAGATAGCACAGTGGTGAGGACCATGGGTGCTCCTGCCAGGCATCCCAGGCTCAGATTGTGACTCTACCACCTAGCCACGGAAGGACTTTGGGCAGGTGATTCTAATGACCTCAGTTACCTTTTGTGGAAAATGGGAATAATTATGTTGCCAGCTTCATCTGGGGCACTGAGGTGTCCAGTATGTGGCCACCCATGAGCAAATGTCTTAGGATATTCCACATTTACCTCTGCATTTCTTCAAACCAAAAAGCAGGATGATCTTTCCCATCGGGCAAATGGAGAATGTAAGGCTCAGAGTGGTTCAGACAGGTTCCCAAGGCCACAGGGCAAACTGTGATTTCAGTCCTGACCCTCCTGACACTGCCATGCATTCCCACTTTTCCTGGACCATCTCTGAGTGTTTGGGAGGGGCCTTGGTCTTGTCCCAGGTGTTGTGTTTTCTTATCGGAAGGGGGACGGGGCTCTGATCAAGAGAGTAAAATGTGGAGGCAGACAGCTGGGGCCAGACCTCAGCTCTGTCCTCCACAACCGAATGCAAACTCTCAACCTCTTTAGACCCGGTCCTGTGGAATAGCTCCCTCCAGGGCTGGGGAGTTTAAATTGCCTGCAGGAGAAGTGCTGGGGACTATGCATGCCAAATACCGATGCATGCCAAATACCGAGGGTCGGCCCCCTGGGGACTCAGGGGGAGAATGCACTCTGACCCACCCTGACCCCTGACCTCTGTCCTCACTCTTTCTAGACATTTCCGTGAGCCTGCTGTCGGTCATCGTCACATTCTGTGGCATTGTCCTCCTGGGTGTCTCTCTCTTCGTGTCCTGGAAGTTGTGCTGGGTGCCCTGGCGGGACAAGGGAGGCTCGGCAGTGGGCGGCGGCCCCCTGCGGAAAGACCTAGGTCCTGGGGTTGGGCTGGCAGGCCTGGTGGGTGGTGGCGGGCACCACCTGGGGGCTGGCCTGGGTGGCCATCCTCTGCTCGGCGGCCCACATCACCATGCCCACACGGCCCACCATCCGCCCTTTGCCGAGCTGCTGGAGCCGGGCAGCTTGGGGGGCTCCGACCCCCCGGAACCCTCTTACTTGGACATGGACACATATCCAGAGGCGGCAGCAGCGGCTGTGGTAGCTGCTGGGGTCAAACCAAGCCAGACATCTCCTGAGCTGCCCTCTGAGGGCGGGGCAGGATCTGGGTTGCTCCTGTTGCCCCCCAGTGGTGGGAGCTTGCCCAGTGCCCAGTCGCATCAGCAAGTCACCAGCCTAGCGCCCAGCACCAGGTGAGAGCCACTGCTGGGCTGGGGTSGACTCTGAACTTCTGCTCCTCTGTGTCTCTTTCCCATCTGTGACTTTTCTGAGTTCTGGGTCAGGAAGATTGTGGTCTGGACTCCTGGATCCCAGGAATGAAGAGGCGGAGGCCCCAGACTCCGGACCTAAGGGAGGATGGGGCTAGAGGGGCCTTTTTTCCTCTGCCCTGAAGGAGAAGGGCCTGGAGTCTTGGGGACTTGGATTCTTGGGTTCAGAGGCAGGAGAGGGCTGGGGACAAGAATATAGAGTCAGGAAAGTGGAGGAGAATGGGAATTGGATCCCCAAGGCAGAAGCAATTATTCCTCTGGTTCACTTTAAGCTGGGATTAGCCCTGGGGACCTGGAGCCCATTCCAGGGTGGCTCATTCTGCATGTGGACCTTGAGCATCTGGCATGAGCTCGGCCTGACTGCCCTGGAGCACCCCTGAAGGTCCAGAGGAGACCCTGTTCCCAGGCTGGGAGGAGACCAGGGGCTTCCTGGAGGTGGAGGTGCCTCTGCTGAGTCAGGCAGGGGGCAGGGGAGTGGCTGTGCATTCTGGGAAAAGGGAACTAACCACGCAAAGGCGAGAGGGGAGGTGCAAGTGCACTGGGGGAACAGCCAGGAGTCACTGGGTGGGAGAGGGACGTTGGAAGATGGGCTGCAGACACCAGACCACACAGGGCCTCAAGTGCCAGGTAGGGAGGCCGGGCTTTGTCCTGTGGGCCCTGGGGAGCAATGAAGGGCTGTGAGCAGGGGAGGAGCAGGGTCAGTTCTGGGTGTAGAAGGACCCCTCTGGGGCCACAAGGAGTGGACAGGAGGGAGACTGGAGGCTGGGAGTCCCAACCGAAGAGGACAAGCCTTGGTTGGGAAAGGGCAGTGGCAATAGAGAGGACAGGTGGGGGAGAAGAAGATTCAGAGGGTCTGGGCTATGTGAGACCCCAGGGGCCCAAGAAGTTATTCTGAGTCACCAGTTTGAGGTCCAGAGGAGGCTTCCGAAAGCCGATTCACAGGTCTAGGGACAGAGCTGGCCTAGCAATGGGGCTAATTCCCCCCAGATACAGATGAAGAAACATGCTCAGTGAGATGTCAAGGTCACAGAGTGGGTACAGGAAGGGATCACAGCCACCTCTCTGGGAGCTGAGAGGGAGGCAGGGAGGAGTCCCAGGTGGTCAGATGCAGCCAAAGATCAGAGCCACTGGGTCTGACCTGGACCCCTGGGTCTGAGGGAGGAGGCTGGGTCTAGACCCTGGGTCTGAGGGAGGAGGCTGGGGCTGGACCCTGGGTCTGAGGGAGGAGGCTGGACCTGGACCCCTGGGTCTGAGGGAGGAGGCTGGGCCTGGACCCCTGGGTCTGAGGGAGGAGGCTGGGCCTGGACCC